CATAATGCAGCATATATAACATGTTTCCCAAAATCAAAAGGCTCTTCTGTTAGAAATGTCTTTTTTGTAATATTGCAACTGTTAAGTGGCTGTTAGTTTATTTACATCAATGATTCTATAGTGAAAAGAGTATAAAGACTTGACAATTAAGTTGAACTATTAGTCTATCTAATTGATGAAAATCATAGAAATCTGATGTTTTTATACAACAGAATGTGACATTTTTCAAACCAATTTGCTGCTGCATACTTTTATTAGACTTCATTTAGCATGGAAAGGAGCTGAGATGCTGTACTTTTAACTCCACGGTTGCATTGACCTTGATGCTTTTTTGTTCCACCTGACTAACAATGTTTTAACTAAGTTATTTTCAAAAGGTCTTGAGTTTGTAAAGGATGAAAGTGAGCATTCAGGGAAAGAAAAATAAATATTAATAAATTATGTTGAGCTTTATGGTAGAAATGTTGTCCTACGGAATTTTCAAAAACAATTAAGACTTTATGTGACTGATAAACAGGAGCTTCATATTGTTGAGGAAATATAAAAAATGTTGATAATGCCCCTTTTTATTTCGTACCCCTAAGTAGAATGTAATACAACCAGGGTTGTAAAGAGACTACATGTTATATTAAGAAGAAACAACATTTTAAAAACAAAATGAAAAACCAAGGAAAACCAAACACAGTGTAAAAGTTTAAAGAAGGTTGAAGTTATAAAAGAAAATAAGAATTTTATTAAGATCTTACTGTTTAATCACAGCAGAAAAGAAATGTAATTACATTGAAAAAAAAAATCCAATTAAGTCATTTTTGTCTTAAAATAAATTCACCTTTAGTTTAATTTAACAGATAAAGTAGTAGTCATTTAAAATTTCCCCACTTTCTTTGATGGGCCCTTTGCTGGTCCCCTATAATTCCTTTTTTAAACATCAATCAGCTCAAATTAAGGATAAATACACTTATTTTAAGAAATTTTGAAGTCTTTTTGCATAGCTTGTTTGCAGAGTAATTTATTTTTTTCTCGAAATAAGTGTATTTCCCTTGATTAAAGTGATTAAAGACAATTTACGAAAAGAATAACACCATTAAAATTTAATTGGAATAAAGATATCTTTCATTGTTTTTAAAGTAAATGTATAATGATCTTATTTTAAGGTCAAAAATATTACCGGGTAATTCCATTGGCAGATATCTGCTCAAAATAAGGGAAGATACACTTATTTCAAGAAATGTTTACCTATTTTAAATCAGTGAGCGACAGTAATGCATTATATGAAAAATCTAAATAAAATGGCACGACTTTAACCCTACAAACAAAAATTACTAACATGGACTAAAATTTACTAACCTCTGATTTACTCAGAGAGCCAGGCAAGAAACTAATGTTTTTTCTGGAGGAGATGCAAATAGGACACCGACAGAAGATCCACTCAAAGTGAGAAACGGAAAGTCCTCTAATTTCCTTGGTGCAGTCGGCCATTTTTACATATTGGCCTACATGTATAATATAAGGTTTGGGAGAAAAACTAACGTGGCATATCAACATGAACTCCCTGAAGTAAAACCTGATGGTGGCAGCAGGTACGGTGATATTGCTTATCTTGATTAGGGATAGCTTAATAAAATATAGCTGGAACTATTAGAAGCAAACCTGTAAAGATTTGAGATTACAATGGAGGTTCACATACCAGGCTGGATAAACCCATCCCAATTGTACAGCCAGAGCTACAGAGATGTGGGAAATACTATTTACAAAGGATATTTATGTGCAAAATGATCCAGTTTAAGTCCAGACACGATTCAAGATTATAATCTGTCGCAGGAAAATGCTTACAGATGTCCTTCATTTAGTGTGACAAAGCTTAGGGCAGTTTTGCAAAGATGAGCAGCCAAGAAATGCAGTGTCTAGATATGCAAAGCAGGTAAAGTCAAATCCAAAGAGATGCCGACACAGTGAGGAATGAATATGAATACTAGTGGCACTTTTCAGCTTTAGGGTTAAAACTGTGCTGCCTTTTTAATCTATCCCTTATTTTTATACATTACACAGTAGTAGTTTGGAGTTTGTGTTTGTGATGTTAAAATGTCAGGGAATACAAATAGTGTGCATGGTACTGTAACTGTTCATGTGATCTTGTTAAGACTTATATACTTCTAGGTGTATATTATCAATAAAATTCAGAAAGAGATTAATATTAATCACACTAAGTATTTGTATTAAATAGATCCTGTAAGTGCATCACTACCTGTAAATGTTTTAGCTCAACCTTTTAAATATCAAGAATGTCAAAATGACCTTGTTAAACATATTATTAATGTGGAATATAAGAAGCTATCCTTTTTGGAAATCTTTAAAACAATGTTTTCCCCTAAACTACATTCTTCAATTATTATATTTAAAAACATTCTCCTTTTTCTGTTGTCTTTTAGTGGAGCTGAAATTTAACCTGGACCAGTACGTGAACAAACGCTACCCAGGCCTGGTGAAGATTGTGAGGAATAACAAGCGGGAGGGTTTGATCCGAGCCAGAATCCATGGCTGGAATGCTGCCACATCACCTGTTGTCGGTTTCTTCGATGCTCATGTCGAGTTCAACACTGGATGGTAAGAAAAGGTCACATTTAGCAGGTGAAAGTCCAAGCCGTTTCCTTTTTCTCGCTCACCTTGCCTTTGTGTTTGGCTTTTTACAACAGAGGTATGTCAGCAGTTCTATATCTTTTCCACAGTAAGTTGGGAAGATAAGAAGGACTTTTGATTAGATTAGATTAGATTCAACTTTATTGTCATTACACAGGTACAGGTACAAGGCAACGAAATGCAGTGTAGGTCTAACCAGAAGAGCAATAGCAGCAAGTGCAGGACAAATAATGGTTCCATAAATACAGGACATGGGTTTCTACTGAATAAATATAGAGGTGAATACCATTATAAACAGAATTTTAGTAATAGATTTATCCTATGAATATAATATATAGACAACTAGTGTTATGAACTAAATTAGCTGGATATGTACCGAATATAATATAAAGGTAGATATTACTATAAAAAGGGTTTTCACAGTTATGTAGAATAGCATAATATACAGATGGCTTTTACTATAAAATGAATAAATAAAGTTTGGACAGAAGCTATTTTAATTAAAGCGCAGTGGAAGGTAATTGCATAATGCTTTTTCAACTAAATATATTTAAAAACTTTTATTCAGTTTTATTCATATAGAAATATTAACACCCCACATTTCTACTATCAGTAAGGAAACATAAGTGAATTTTTAATGTTTAAACTGGAATACAGTTTAGGCCTAACTTTTTAGATAAGCAGAACACAGAACAACGAATCACTTTATTCCTGACTCCCACCAATGCACTGCATGGTAATCCATATCTTTGTATTCACCTTGAAAATTACAGTCAAGATTCTTGGAGATTCACAGAAGCAGGCCAAGTACCACAAGTGGCACTTGTAGCTTGAGAACCATATGAAAGTAAAACACATACATTTAGTATGAGCAAAATAGTCAGCACTGCAAAGTAATTTTATTTGTAGGTGCTGCAGTGAATTTGTGGAATTAAATTATTCCTGGGGATCTCACTCTGTCTGCCTGGTTCAAAGGTTTACCAGCAAACACGTTGCTGAAATCGATGCAATTGGCACCTAATTTGAGCCTGTCATGCTGTCGGTATTTGAAGATGAAGTGCAGCTTTAGTTTCCTTGGAAGCTGCCTGGAAGGCATGTGTTCGACACGGGGGGATGGGATGGATGAGGGAGAGGTAGAGGAGGAGAGGAGGACAGCAGCATGTGACAGTTGGGTTTCAAATTAGTAACAGAGTCTGGATGCAGTCCAGTGCCTCTGGTAGCATATATATAGGTATAATTTTAAACAGCAGAAATGCTTTAGTCCTTTCTTAATTACCCAGATTTGCTTTAAACATCAAATACTTGCTCACTGTTTAACAGAAATCTGTAAAATGATACTGCATGAATTCCTCTTAGAGCTTTACCACTCCATGTTTATTGTGATGGAGAGATTTATGAAGGTAAATAAATGTTTAGGAACATTTGTACAAATTCTGCACCTCCACAAATTCTTATGTTTAATAGGGATGAGCCTATATATATATATATATATATATATATATATATATATATATATATATATATATATATATATAGATCAGCTTGCATCTAAAACGCTGAAAAAAGCGTTTTAGATGCTTCTATCTTCTGTTTAGATTTTATGTAAGCTACTGTATCGGTTAATGATACATGGATCACTTGTTCTCATTCCTTTCCTTATTGTGTGCTCACTGTTTTACTAATATAATCCAATCACACCTTGTCTTACATCCCTAATTGTTGTCCTGACAATTTGTTATAAACTGCTAACAATTCTTTTTTTCTAATAAATTGTTACAATACCTTCATTATATATTTCCACAATGTTACTGGTCCACTTGGCCTTTTGGGTGGGACCAAAAGGTGACATTTGATTTGAGACAGGACAGTTTCAGTAGATTTCAAAAGTGGTAGACAGTTTTACCATAATTCTCCTAATCATGTAAATCAATTCATATTCCCAAGGAAACTCAAACTACCGGTAAGTCGTATTGGTTAAATACAGTGACTGGTGTGCAATTTATAACTATATTCATTTTATCTGTACAAAAACTCAAAAATGATTCAATTCAATTTCAATTCAGTTTATTTATATAGCGCCAATTCACAACACAAGTCATCTCAACTTGAGATGCCTTGAGTCAAGGCACTTTACAATTAATCAAGAACATACCGTCAAATTGATTCAAAGTTTTCTATCTAGGGAAAACCAGTTGATTGCATCGACTCAAATGCAATCCCTCACACTAAGCATGCTTGTAGCGACAGTGAGTTAGAAATTAAACTAACAGATTCTGCAGATTGGGAGAATAGAGACAGAATGGAGCAGAATGATGAAATGGGGGTCCCTATGTCCTCCAGAAGTCTAAACCTATAGCAGTATAACTATAGAGATAGCGCAGGATAACCTGAGCCACTCTAACTATAAGCTTCTATCATTCCAAATTAATGATGATGAAATGAATGAAATGGATTATCCAAGTAACATTTCAATGTTAGTAGCATTTTCCATTTTTAAACGGTTTCAAAGCCCTGTTATGAAACAAACAGGGGTAAGTATACAGTATAAGAATTTAGGTACGGTCTTAGAAAAATACATTTATTTGTGTACTATTATGTTGAATCTGAAGTAAGAAATGGCAACCACAACAAAAGCTTATGATGGAACCCTGGAAATGCTTACCTACAGACACTTCTGCCTTCTGTCCAGGTGTCTGCCATGATAAAGAAGTTAAAGTCCCTTAGCTTCCGAGAAGATCTTGTTCTTTCTCAAACTTTTGTAGTGGTAGGTTCTTAATTTTGACCTACGGCTTAAAAAGTAATTCAACACTTGAATTCCATAATTGTGAGGGGTACCTCAAGCCGTCCAGGGCTCTAAGATTTGTAGCCCTGGACGGCTACAAATCTTAGATTTATTTGGTTTGGTAAAAGCACTCAGAGGCAACAGTAAGCTAAACCCAGCCATAAGAATCAAAAACAAATGTGCAATCACAGATCATTCTGCTAACAGAGGCTCACCGAGGGCTGTTTTAATGAGCCTTAAGAGCACTGTTCATGGTTTGAAAGAGAAAGGCAAGCTCAGGGTCACCCATGGCAAGCAACCAACCAGGAAGGAGCACTCATGAGAATCTGCTTTATTGCCTAATGATACAGATGATAAGTAATACCTGTGTGGTTCCCACAACAGTTTCCCATCTGTTCTTTCCAGAAATAGACGTGCATTTCATACCTCCACATAGCTGCTCTCACCTCCACACAGCTTTTTCGGCCTTCAGCTGTCTCAGTTTTCTTGTTGGCATTCCACCAAACTTCCTTCTTCTACCAAACAAGCTGCGGCTTCAGCTCACCTGCTACCAACATGGGTATTCTTCTTCCTCTACCTGCCACCCTCACAAACTTGGACAAGGTTTTGATCTTGTTTTGAGATACTAATACTAAGCAAGAGATTTTTTTATCTTCTTTTGAGAAGATCCTACTCAAAAATAGGTGTGATAATCTGCCAGTGCAGTAAGACTTTTTGCTTTGACAACATATAATATAGCAGATTATTGCACAGTTGTGCGTAGCATCTTCTGAAAAGTAGATTAATGATCTAATAGAATCTTCCTTTTACTTCAATCTCTAGACACAATCAAAAAGACTGACTAGATTAGATTGTAAGACTTGGTCAGGCGGGCAATTGTTGCAGTTGAGCAAAGAACTTATAAGATGAGATCCTGATTACCACTGATGTGAGCAAAACAATCTGGCGCCTGTCTCAGGAAACAAGAACATTTCTAGGCTCCACCTGATGAGCCTTAATGAGCTCTAGCTGCAGAGCCTGCACCTGCCAGTCACACCCTGAAAAGGAAGGTGGAGGAAAAAAAAAATCAAAATATGCTGCAGAGACCTCTGTGGATATGACAGCCTTTAGATCTGCTTTTGTCTGACGTTTTATTTACAGAAGTCAAAGGAAACTACAGCAGAGTCGCTTTGATTTTGATACAATAGCAGTTCCTGGATGAAAGGATATAGCTATGGAGAAGATGACAGGCCCGTTCAAAAAGCATATTTGTGGTTCTTTATATCAGGGCATGTGTGTATGTTACCTGTGTGTGGATTTATCTTCTGCTGTGTACTTAGAAACATTCTTCACTGCTTTATGCAGATAGATTTACTTGTGTTATCTACATTTTCTTTTTGTTAGAACGGAAAGAATCCCTATTTATCATAATATGATTATTCGCCATGGCACATGCATTGATAAGTGAGACGGATGGTTGCTGATATGTTGTGGTGAATCTCCTTCAATGACCTTGCTCTCGCTGCTTGTGCATACTGAGCCAGAGACAGCACTGTCAGCTCTGAGCAGCAGCTCTGTGATTCATTGGCAAAGGCTTTCCCTCCAGGGAGGCTGAACATTTGCAGCTGAAATGTATTGCTGGTTCACATTATTATTAAGGCAAACATAATTGCATCATGCTGTTTGGTGCATTTGAAAACTGTTTTCCGTTCCCACACACTGTGCTGCTTTATGAGGATTTAAGAGGCCGGTGGCTTTTACCTCAGCAACTGCAGAGTCTGAATATCACACCTCAGCTTGGCTTTAATATGGGGACACAAAACTGTAGCTTATGGTTACTGAGCTGTTGCATCAACCATGAGTCCATCCCTGCCCACACCTGATAATGTGTCATCATTTTGACAGCAGTTGTTTGTTGTGCTCTAAACAGGCGCATGCTGTAAATAAGCAGATTAGGGGAAAGTATGGGTGGCTGCAATTAGGCCTAACTGTGTCCATAGCTTCAAACACTGTGGATGAATGAAAGGATAGGGAAACTGATATTTATTTGCCGTCTGCAGTCAAATCTTTGGTTGTAACACATAATCATAATCAGAGAGTAAAATCTGCTCCATGCTGACTGTTTGCTGATTATAATATGGTCATTATAGGGATGTTCTCATAAATGTCATGCTTCAAATTGGAGCTCTTAGATGGATATTTGATG